CGCCGCCAACTCCTGTTGGTCCTCCAGAAGCGGCTCCTTTTCCACCAATTCCAGTTTCAGGGCCGAAAGGAGCGTTAAGCCCTCTCGAGTGGTGGCTTCGCAGATGCGTAGTAGGTTGTGTCCGCTGCTTCCTTCCACTCCTGCCGGCGGTAACTTCACCACCGCTTCCTCAACTACACACCGGACTTTCGCCTCAGCGCTATTTAACCAGGAGACCAGGGCTGACCGGGTCTGTGCCGTTTGCGTAATCTCCGCTATCTCCTGCCGCACCGAAGTTTGTTTCATCAGAACCTGGTCTCGCAGGAGGGTGTAGGAGGAGATCAGATCTGACACTAACATGTGAGTGGAGGTGCTAGCGGCAACGAGCTCGCCGTGAGCTAAGATATCTGATTGGACAGTGGCTGCCCATTGCTTGCAGGTGCCAAGCAGTTGATCACCCCTGTCCAATGACTCCACAAGGCTGTTCAGGGCAGCCAGTATATTGTTTTTAATATTTCCACTGTCTTTACTTGCTTCCGGACTCATTCTAGCAGACCGGTCGACTTGAATGTGAGTCATGCTGGCCCGCGTATCTCGTTCCCAGGTGGCGTAAGTGTTGCGTGCGGTTTGTAGTTTTTCCACAGCTAGCAAAGCGGACGACAGCTCTTCAGTACGTCTGTTCATCTTGGTTGTGAGACGGCCAAAACGTTGGGAGAGTTGCTGTGTCTGGTGAATGGCAAAATCACCATAGACGGCTGCAGCGGTTGAGGTGGCACTGTCTTCAAGCAGGTGCCCCTTGAGATGCTCCGACCGGGAGATGAGGAGGTCCAATTCGGCCTGTTTAGCAGTCACCTCAGAGACCCTTTCGCGATTATGTGCCAGCTGGGAGATAAGATTAGTGGACCGAATCGTGAGAAAACTTGATGGCACAGCCCACAGCCGTGATTCCTCATCAAAGTTCGATGATACAGCTGAGGCATCGGCCTCTGCAGTGCTGATCCACGTGTGCAGGCTGGTGTAAATCTCATCGAAGGCCGTCCACTGTAGAAGTAAATCTGAAAGTTGACGTTCAAGTTGCAAGGTGCGCTCGTTCAGATCGGCGTAGGCGGCGCAGATTTCGGTGAGGGGCATATCCCAGGCAACCAGGTTCACACCATCTGATCCTCGAACATCAAAGGCGCCTCTACTCTCCTGAATTATACTCTGGACTTTCAGGCGATGGGACTGACTTTCCCGCAAATGGTGATCTCCATCGACACGTATCTTCATGCGGAAAGCATGAAGTTGATCCAGGCTCTTGGAAACTTTTTCTGTCAATTCCCGGACCCCATCCACCTCAAAGAGACAGTAGACGGAACGCTCACCTTCGGCAAGGGTTTCAAACTTGGCCTGCAGTTCAGTCAACCAGCCTCGTCTTTCCTCGTCGACCAGGTTCGTGAATTTTTCATAGGTGGAAGCCAAGCGAGTAAGGACCTCACGGCGCCGACCCAAGTCACTGTGAAGGCCTGAATAGGCCTCCCAGAGGGAAGCAACTTGCCTACTGAGTGCATTCAATTCAGACAAGTCCACCTTGCAGACTTGCAGTTCCTCCTTCTTCTGCTGAATACGATCGTTCAGGGGTGAAAGCGAAGTCTCCTTCAGACTGGCAAGACGCAGGTCAATGTCGCGCAGGCAACGCAGCCGCTCTTCAACGAAGCGCGTTCCAGGTGGGGCGTTCACAAGCAGAAGTACTGGCTCCGTAACGGTGGCTCCCATCTGCTTCTCAATGGCGTCCAACTGCTGTTTACAGCCGTTTCCCTGTTCATTCAAATCGTCCCTATCCACAATTAGAGCCTCTAATTCTGCCACCTTAGTGGATATGGAGTTCCGAAGCTCTTCCCATTCTGCGCGGAGGAGGTTAACAGCCCTCTCGATTAGCTCTACACCACTTGACGGCCAACCGGGCTTTACACGAGCACTAGCGGAGTCAAGGAGAGTAATAAGTCGACGCGAAAGAAGAGTTACCTGTTCCAACTTCTCGCTGCCGGCCTTCAACTCCCCGGAAAGGTTTCGCAGTCCTTTAAATTGATCTAAAATGACCTGAGCGCGCTCACAGTCGCGCATGCGGATGCTGCATGTGTTTACAAAGTCAACATTCTCCATGAATAGAACTAAAAATGT